GACTCGATGGCACATAACAATAACAACAACAACAAACTGTCTTAACTCATCTAGTAAACAAATATTTATCAAATCTATTTGGCAAGCATTATGCTTGGTGGTGAAGATCTAGCAATGAATAAGTAAACAAGGGAAATTATTTCCATATTCTTTTAGAATTTTTTTATTTCTGGTGAAAATAGAAAACTAGAGATAAGTTGTTTTATTTCCCCCCACCAAGCAGTCAACAGACAGACATTTCCATTGTAAATAATTTGGGCAACGGGTTTGTACTTGTGTTGTTCACTTGATCTGGTATAGCACATTGTTTAGTGTGGGTAGGAAAATCTTTTAAATTAATAAATAACAACAGTAAAAAGGATATTTTGAAAATCTGGGACTAGTAAGTTTTTTTTTTACCTGCTAAGAGTTTCAGTTGATTTGCTGCCTTCAGTGGAATCGTGTAACGAGTTGCTGCTTCTGTTGGTAGAGAGAAAGGAGAAATTAAAGACAGCATAATGACATTTTTTTACCAATGTAGTAAAAGTTTGTAAGAAAAAGAATTTAATCTTATCAGGTGAAGTGGTTATCTAGTTAACTAGATGGTAAACATTAACTTCATAATAAAATGAAAGTTTCTCTGAACTCCACAGATTCAGGAGTAAGAATGGAGCAGTGGATCTTCCACATGGACAGATGCTTAAAAAAATGAAGTTAACTTTTAGCCATCAGCAGTCTGCTCTAAGTAGAGTATAGTGCAAGAGTAAGAAAAGACTGGTGACACAGTAGGAAAATTCTTCCCTGGCCAACTGCAGGACCATAGAGTTAGGACAGCCAATGAGGGCTGCTTAAGATTTTCAGGAAGTGGCTTCTGAGGAACAAATTAATATTAACCTCTCTATATTCCCCAACCCCCCACTTTTCACCTGAGTCTCTTAAGTAAGTTCTTAGAACTATCTTTGTTTTAGAATGTGATTTCAAGTTATGGACTTCATTTCTTTATACTGTGTATGCTTTAAATCTGTAGCAATTGAAAGTTACTGATGAAATTAGGATTCTTTTCAGCACTCTTTATTCTCCTCCCAACTCCCCAGGTCATACTTGCTTTATAACCATGGTGTTATGCAGTATTTGTCCTTTTGTGACTGAGATATTTCACTCAGCATGATGCGCTCCAGTGTTCCCCAGGTTGTATGTTTTATGAGTTCCCTGTTTTTCAGTGCTGCATGGTATTCCATTGTATAGATATATCATAGTTTTTCTGTTTGTTTGTTGATGAGCACTTGGGTTGCTTCCTTCACTTTGTTATTGTAAATAATGCAGCAATAAGCATGGATATATATATATATATCTGCTTGGATGTCAGTCTCTTTGGGGTATATTCCCAGTAGTGGAATTGCTGGGTCAAATGGTATTTCAATTTCCAACTTTTTGAGAAATCGCCATCCTGCCTTCCATAGTGGTTGTACCATTTTATACTCCCACCAGCAGTGAATAAGGGTTCCAATCTCTCTACAACCTCACCAGCATTTATTATTTGTTGCTCTGTTGAACTTTGTTATTGTTACTGGAGTGAGATGATATCTCATAATTATTTTTATTTGCATTTTTCTGAGAGCTAGGGATTTTGAACATTTCTTCATGTGTTTGTTTGCTATCTGAATGTCTTCTTTGGTGAAGTACTAATATCCCATGCTCATTTTGGTATTGAGTTGTTTACCCTTTTTCTTGTTGAGATGCCCTATGAGGTTAATTTCCAGATAGTAAATAACTTCAAAGAGCCCTGATGGCTGTTAGCCAAAAAGAATCCACCAGCAGCCCCTGGGGATGAAGATGGAGTCCACAGCCTAGGAAATCCTAGGGAAGAATTCTACTCTGTCCTAAGAGTCAGTATCAACCCAATGGGCAACAGACTTTGGAGTATGGATTGGTTTTCTTGTTGTTATTGTTGTTGTTATGTGCTGTCGAGTTGCTTGTGACTCATCGCGACCCTATGTACAAGAGTCCTAAACTCTGCTCTGTCCTGTGCTAATCGCACCATCTCCAATACACCCATCCTGAATACCCCAGTCACTGAATCAATCCACCTCATTGAGGACCTTCCCCTCCACCCTATCAAGCACGATTTCCCTCTCCAAGGACCGGTCCCTCCTTACAACA